CCGATGATACGAGTCCTGAAGCCCTTTTCCTCAGTGGCCTAGTCGCCACCCCAATTAGAAAGACCACAACCCTCGGCGGTCAGGAAGTGCAATCGTACTCCTCCCCATGAGGATCGACATTCCCCAGGTGCCTAGAAGATCAAAACCGGGGGATGACCAAGTAACTGTTATTTTCCATGACCTAGGCCGAAGGTCGATCGAAGAACTTTATACCCTATTATGATGACAGTCCCAGACGGTAAGAGTAGGACAATCCTCCTCCATGATTGTCGATCAAGAGCAACAAAGACGTTCCCCACGGCCCAATATCCCGAGCAATCATGGAAAATCCCCTCCCTGTCAGGCTGGGTAAGCCTCTAAATTTGGGAACGTACAACGTGACTACTGACCCTGACGAACACATCGAGAATATTGATGCCTTACTCGACTATTGGGGAGTCAGGGGGCTATCAAATGCAGACTATTCCCCACCACTTTGAGGAAAGGTGCTATGGCCTGGTACAAAAGCCTCCCCGGCGAGTCTATTACCTCTTGGAAGTACCCTGGAAAGCAATTCTCGAGGCACTTTACATCCTCTCGTCGCCACCCAAAATATAAGGCGACGCTCGAAGCCATCATGCAGAGCAAAGACGAAATTCTCCGAGCATACGTCGAGAGGTTCAACAAAGAAGTTGTTAAGGTCTCGACGACCGACAACATGAAGAAATACCTGCTCGAGCAGGGACTGCGCCCCCGCAGTGACTTTGCCAAAGAAGTTGGCATTAAAACACTCACATCACTGGATGCCCTCCTCCTCAAGGCACATGCATACATTAAGTACGAGGAGAAGGAAGCCTCCAACAATGTCGAGACTCACAACACCAGAACACACCAGGAAACCCCATTTCGACTAGCCTACAGGACCGAGGTTGTAATCCCGATGGAAATCAGAGAGCCTTTTAGGAAAACTAAGTCTCCCCTCGACGAGGAGATGAACGATGAGGCTCCTCGGGAGGTGCTCAACCTTGTCGAAGAAATTCGATAGTGAGCAGCCCTCTGAGAAGCTTCACTAAAAAAAAGGACAATTATACGATATAACGCCAAAGTAAAAAAATGCGAATTCCAAATTGGCAGCCTGGTAATGAGAAGAAATTGAAACAATATTACAGTTAGACCGTAACAGTCGGTGTGCCCCGCTCAACGACGAGGGGACACGCCCCGACCATAGAGACGTGCTTAGGTACATGCACAATCTCCCAAACATAGACAAAAGGCAAGTTTCCGCTCTATGACGAGCAGACTCTTAGCCTGACTGAGATACCTCAATCGAGCTCCGCCGTCGTTGTACCACATTGGCAGAACACCCAGCTCGCAGTGAGAAGTCTATGCCACGAAGCTAAAGACCTTGATTGAGATCTTTGCTACCGCCAACAGTCCTAAATCCTACTCCGACCACTCGATAAGTTTCCCATATTGTCGAGCAAAAAACGCCATCGACGCGAGCTCTCCCCAAAACACTTAGCGGAAATAATTTGCAAACGAGCTTTTATCACGGGCTATTCAAGCCGACGAGCACCCATAGCGCCTGACCGAGGAAAATTAGTACTTGGAAAATAAAGGCATACAACAAATAAGCCAAATGCTTAACATGAGCACAAGCTCAACTGAAGACCACTGGTGCCGTAAACATGCAATCGCGGGCACAAATCAAAATTCATTTCGTGCAAAACTTCTTGCTCCTCCTCGGTGCCCGAACTGACTCTAAGTCATTACTCTTATTCTTATGAGCAACGACTTGGGGGGCTATTGTTCTAAACTGAGTCTATGGATGCACGACCCATCTTGCCCCTACGTCGAGGACGACCCAAACGATGGCCCAATCCATTGGGTCCAAGCTGAAGGCATGTTCTCCACGTGCTCCTCACTCCAAGGACACCCTGTTCGGGACTGAGCTTATGACTGGTCCACTGTCGGGCATGACTCATCTTGCCTTTACATCGAGGAGGCCCAAACGATGGCTCAATCCATTAAGGACATCAAAAAACACCTTTCTCGCATGCCCCTCTCCTGGGGACACATGGCCAAATAGATGATGATCATCCCGTATAACTGGAAGGGGATATCTCTGTCCATGATAACGGCTAGTTCCAGACATATTTTCCCATGATAACGGCTAGTTTCGTGCATCTCTGAGTTCTAGACATCTACCTATGATAACGGCTAGTTTCGAGCATCTCTTTCCAGGACGACGAGCATGAGCTGCTCGTCCCTGCTTTCACGTAGAAATTCTGACAGTTACTTATTTTTGAGTCTGAAGTCTAGATGTCCAGCCCATAATAGGAACCAATGGCCAAGCGCCAGGGGCACTATAAACACCCCCACACTTGTGAAGTTCAGGTATTCAATATTCAATTTAAATCTTATCCCTAAATTTTCTCACGTATCTCTGCACTCTTACTTACTTCACCATCAGAGTGTCTTACAAATACGCCCCCCTCTTCCATGATTTCAACATTGCGGATAAAATTACTAGGCCATTACATATTCTGATCACCTATAAGATCACTTACATATAACAAAAATTCAAGTAGCTTTAAGAAAATTTACCTGGTTTTCATACTCCTATGATTTGATATCAATTTAGAGAAAATCATCAATCTCTTAACAATTTATCCATACGATTTCAACTCACTTGTTATTTATTTCTAGATATAAAGATGAATATATACAATGGTTAGCTCTTGCTTTAATATGAGCTTCAATTCTTGTTAGGCCATTAAAAATCTGTACTTATAAATGGCAGCAACTTAACTTGAAGACATCTCTTGATAACTCAAAGCAAGGACCACCATGAGTGATTCTTATGCTACCCCATTTTTCCAATAAAAACAAATACAATCAATATCAAGTCATACTCTTTCCAAGTCCCTTAATTTATTTAAAACACAACATAGTGGGTGGGTCATTCAAATTATTGCAACACAACCAAATGACAAAGAAGCCCTTAAATTTGTCTTCATATCACATGCCCCACACCTTGACCTACCTTCAAATGAATAATAATAATAACGATGATATATTTTAAATACTATACTTTGGAAATCATTTTCCAATGGATAAAAGAAACCATTCACTAGAAGCCGCGTATTTCCACCGATTTATGACATTAACATAAAAATAGTCACTTCTTGACATAAAATGTGAGGGACATGATGGTCCCATCAAACTCACTTATAGGATAAGATCATAAATCAACGGCCATGATCTTACAACGTGGCAGATCCTTTTAAGTCGTGATTCTTGACTTGTTTTGTGGTCCCTATTGTCTTGATCACAAGATTAGGATATAAGTGCATTTTTTAGGTCAAATATTTTCTTTTCTATAAAAATAAGATTTTCTATGATCCTATTTATAAAAATTGTATCTGGTCGAAATATAATAGTTATTTAATATATATATATATATAAAAATAGTTTTTAATAAATAAAATGAGTATTTTTATTAAAAAATAAATGTGTTTATTTTTATAAAACTAGTTTCAAGCAACATTCATCTTCGATGTTAAGTCAACTTTTTCAATGAGTTTTTGTAGATAGGTTGAGAAAATTATATAAAAATCATTTACATAGTGAGCTAAAAATAAATATTCAAAGTCTGAATTTTATTTTGATCTTGTGACATTTAAAATATTACATTTATTTAATCTATTGTTATATAAACATAAATTTTAGTAGAAGAATTTTTATAAATTTAAATATATTTCTTTTCATAAAAAGAAAATACTATGCATGTCCACTTTATGAGAAATAATTTATTTTTTAGATTAATTAAATAGATAATGTAATTGGTCTATATAAATATATTATATACATTAATTATTCAATAAATATAAAAAATGAATTATTTTTTATAAAAAAATTTGAAGAAATTATTTCTTAAAAATTATTCAAAATGTAAAATTTAAAAAATAGATATGTTTTATTTCAACAAGAATACATTTTTTCCAAATTTCAACAAGAATTAAAAACTATTTAAAAGGTAATTTTGCATATGCTATAAATTATTAATCTTTTTTCAGAAATAAAATTAAATAAATTAGATAGACGATAAAAATATATTTAACAATGTTTTACTAATCTTATTTTAATTCTTATTATAGTTTTTTAATGCAAGTTCATAAATATCTTAAGTCATTAATCTTTTCTCATCAGTTCTTAAATTTCTTATTATAATATTCAAAAGTTCAGTGAGTTTTATTATATAAATTCACAATTCCTACATCTATCATAAATTCATGTCTATCTAGTATTGTCATCGAGTATTTTCTCAATGTTTTAATATAATCATGATTCATGATTACATATTCACACACAAAAATATAAAGAATGATTGACTTAGAAATGCTTATTTCCTAAATAATTGACAGCTTTTCTTTAAGAAAACCTATCATTTATAAACAAATAATACACTATATATTATACACTTAGTAATATATATTATAAATTATTTCACACTAAACTCCCATCGTAGAAAAGTCAGTCAAATTAATAAATATAGATAAAATATAAATTATTTCACATAGTAATACTATTATACACTTAATATTATTAAATATTTCACACTAAAAACGCCATCATAGTATTAATTTAAGAAAAAAATACTAGAAAAAATATTCGAGTATATCCATACATGATTGAAGTAAAGGGTAGGTTGAAAATAATTGTTTGTGATTGACGTGGATCCTTGTGGTCTGTCCCAAGCAAGAACATATTACTGTCATCATCACATTATTTTCATCAAACTGAAATTATTACATAAAAAACAGATTTGAATCGTCGAATGAAAAACTGCCACGTGAGCATCCAGAATTTACCTTCATGTGCGCGGCGTGTAGTAGAGTCCTATGTAGGACCGACCAAAACAATATCGTTACATTTTCTTTGCGTATATAAAAGGCACTGAAACAAATGAATGTAGTGTAAGAAACAAAAAAAATAATAAACAAGGTGAGTTAAGAATCATGGGTGCAACCTCTTTGGCTGGAAGAGTTACTAGGTTTTTGTCGTGTCGGCGACAAGGTAGTGTTGAGTCTGAAGACAGTGTTTGTGATGTTGAGTTTGATTTTCTTGATGATGGGGAAGTTTTCATGTCGAGTTCTAGTAGTGACGATCAATGTCATTCACTAGAAATGGAAATGGATGATGATGATGAGAAAGATCTGAATGGTATCAATGAGATGAATCGAAGCTTTTGGGACAGTCAACATCAAGGATTGCAGGTGATTTAATCATGGTAGTTAAAATCGCGATCCTAAGAGAGAGAGAGATCTTGCTCGTAGGATCGTACGATTTTACGATAATTTTTATATTTTCATGTTTCTTCAAAATTATACTTCATATTAGTGTGATTTAAATTGGTGCAGACGAATGTGTACAGAACAAGTTCTTTGGAGACCAGGATAAGAAGTGCGACGAAAGAAGCGATTGAGGAAATAAGTGCTTCTGGAACAGGAGTGTGTGGTTGCAGCAGAAAGATGAAGATGGGTGGAACAAGTTGTAGAAACTGCTTAATGAGAGAAGTTTGTAGGAGGCTTCAGAAAGCTGGTTTCAATAGTGCTATTTGCAAAACTAAATGGAGAACTTCAAAGGATATTCCAGCAGGTACTAATAAATATGTTTTAATTATTCAATTTTGGGTTTTATCATTTTAAGAAAGTAAATAAATATGTGAAAAGAGGATATGCTATAAACTTATATAATATCCTTTTCCATCGAAAATATTAATTAAGTTTATAGCATATATTGCATGACTTTTTTTTTTCTTTTGCATTGGAAAAGGAAAAATATGTTTCAAAGAAGAAACTAAATTTAGAATTTAATATAAAATATAACTTTCATAACCTAATACATAATCAAAATGAACTATGCAGGTGAACACACATTTTTGGATGTGATTGACAACACAAACCCAAAGAAAGGAGAAGTAAGAGTGATGATAGAGCTAAATTTGCAAGCTGAGTTTGAGATGGCAAGAGGAAGCAATGAATACAATGAACTAATCCAAAAGCTACCACAAGTGTTTGTTGGGAAAGTAGAAAGATTAAGCAACTTAATCAAAATCTTATGCATTGCATCCGAAAGATGCATGAAGGATAAGAAAATGCATATGGGACCATGGAGGAAACATAGGTACATGCAAGCTAAATGGTTAGGTCCATGTGAAAGGAACACTTCAACAAAACCTCTTCCAATGGGATATAGTAATTCTGAGAGGATTGTAACAAGACAAAAATCAAAGGCTTCTATGTTGACTATTGATTTGTTGGACAAGGTTCCAACGTTGCATTGCACTGTTGTTGGAGTTGTCTAATTGGTGAAACTAAGGAAGATTGAATCTGTTAGTTTTTTTATTTATTTACCTGGTCGTTTTGAACTTTGATTATGGTAAATTTCATTTTTATATTAGTTGGTGAAAACTAAAGGAGTGTGTGTGACTCATAGATGTTTCACCCCATATACTTGTATGTAAAAATCGTCATCTTGGTTATGAACACTATGCCAAAAAAGATTTAAGAATTTTTTTTTGTTCTTTAGCAGCGCTTAAAAGTGCTGTCTATGGTGGCGTTGCCGTAGGTATAGTCAGCGTTTTTTTTTACGCAAAAGCGCTGCCATATGTATTCTTTAGCAACGTTTTTCTCTGGAAAAGCGCTTTCTAAGATAGGCCTCTAGCAGCGCTTTTTCTTAAAAAAACGCTTTCTATTGACCGCCTTTAGACAGCGCTTTCAAAAGCGTTGTCTAATGTATTTTTTAAGGCAGCGCTTTTCTAGGAAAAGCGCTTTCTAAAGTAGGCGTTTAGCAGCGCTTTTTCCTAAAAAGCGCTTTCGTTGCTTCACGTAAATTTAAGTATTTTTTACGTAAAAACGCCGCGTATTCTTTCTTTTTTAGAAGGCATATTTTTGAGAATAATCCCATAAATCTATACTTCAAGCCTTACATTTCAACGACCCTTTATTTCAACAAAGAAGCCGTTACATACAAAAAAAAAAGATATTATATACCATTATATACCAAAATATAAACACCATTATGATTCAATTCACATGTTTGCTACTAAGTAGGAGGGAGATGCACTATAATAAGGACGAATTTATGACTATTTCGAACAACAAACTCCAAGAATTTCGTATAAAGGTGATAATACTCAAGTACAACAAAACCTTCTATTTGAATCCTCTTATATATGATATGTGTCAAATTTGTTTCAGCCTGAAATCGCCAAAATCCGACGAGCGGGCGATCCTGGTCCTGCAAATAAGGTATGAACAGAACAACACGGTCAATTAAACTAACTTGGGTCCAACACAATTAAAATTTTTCATAACATATTTCAACTTTCAATACCTTATATGATACTTTTCTGAATAAAGTATTCACACAGTTCCTCCTTGATTTCTTCCAATTGATTTTTCGTGTAATGAGCACACTTGCATTCATTAAAATACTACATAATAAAACATAATATGCATGATTTAGTTAAAAGTAATAAATTATATGAAATATCTGATAAATATTAAAGTAAATCCTAAGTTATAAATCCATACCGTGATTGGAATCTCTATTCGATTCAAAAGAAGAATTTCTTTCATAAACCTCAAAACAAAGTATCTACAATCTATACTGTTACGCTGTTGAGCATACTACATAAAAAAAACAAATAAAAATGTATAGTTGTCTTGTTTTATCAAGTAGCATCACTATTATAAGCAAAATTGTGAAAATTAATGTACCTCCACTTTGATCCATGTAATGTTGCTTGATCTAGACCGTGATACTCGAGCTTCTCTTTGAGAGCGGAATACTTGTATTGATCTAACAAAATAAAAATATATATTTAGAACAATCTCACAAATAATTAAATATACAAATACACACGAATATTTAGAATAATCTCACTTACGTATCAATCATTAACTTCATATCTGGATAATTTGTCCATTCACCATCTACTGAATTCAGATAATACACCACTTCTTTGAAAGGATCAATAGCAACCAACCATCGGTGATGTCTATAAATTAAAACAAAATTTTAGATGAAAATCTTCAACACAAAAGATACAAAGATTAGAATGAACTTAGAATGAAGTACTAACCCCACAGGAATCGTATTATACGGTAAAAGATACAAGCTTTCTGTACTGCTGGCCATGAATCTCCCAACTAAGTGATTTCTTACTGAATCTGGATCCTGAATAATTGACGCTCCGTTGACACAGGAGGCAAACACGAAATGGAATCTGTTTGACAATTGATTCCCGCGCATCAATGTTTCATACAAGAACCTTAAATAAAAGCATAATAAATATTAGACTATTTTCATTAAAATGTGTTAATAAATTGTTCGACTAATTAAATAATAGATTGATCGCATTACTGGATGTATGAGTGTACAACACTGATGCCTAATTCTGTATGCTGAAAAATTTGTTCCATTTCCTCTTTTGCAATTGTTTCGAAGTAAGAAAACCCAAATATACCTTCTTCCATATCCATTTGACGAATAGCATCATTCATCAAATCTGATGTTCCCATAAGTGTTTCAAGACACATCCGGAATCGAGGTACAAAAGGTTTTCTTGCCCTGGTTCTTGGAAGATCATTTTTCTTGTTGGGTACGCTACTAAATTTCTGGCTCACTTGTTGTGACCGTTGAGCAGGTACCTAAAAATCATATAACTTAGATAAATTATAAAATCATGCAATTTTTGAATTCGGATCATATAATTAACACTTTAAATGTACCTCTTTTTGTGATGCAATTGACTCGCTGTGCCGCAAAATCTCTTTATCCTTAGATGCGGGTTTTGTAGGAGTATGAAATTAACATGTAATAAAAATGTACGTAATGGTTCAGAATTGAAACTTGAATACTAAAAGATTCATAATGGTTTTCAACATACCTCATCATCTATGAAAATGAGGTCCGACGACCATGCAACAAATGATCCTATTGCATCTCGTAGCAATGTTGTCTCTGAAATAATGTCAGGTACCGGTAGCAACGCATCCAGATCTAATGCAACATCAACCGATACTTTCATATGTCCATCAGGGAGCGGTCTATGGTGAAGTAAATATCCCAAAGTGTTATGCACTTTTCCCTTACACACTAAGCGATAAGCCAGTGACGATAAGTATAGCTGACAAGATGAAATGCCCTAAACCAATAATAAATATGTTACTGTTAATGTGTATATATGTAAATTAAAATAAATGTGCTAGTTTAATTTCATAATAACTTATATAATTACCTCGGGAAATTTATTTTGACAATTGATACTAGCTTTGTCACTAGTTTCTTTCGCCTCTGAACTGCACTTTTGCACCATATCTCTCTCTCTATCTTGTTGTAATTCACGGACTTGCGTCTTTAATTCCTCCAACGTTTGCATCACTTCTTGATTGCTAGGATTTATTTTCCTTGGATTCTTATACAAGGAAGATGGAGTCACACCATGTCCTTTACCCCTCACCTGACCGAGATACTCAGCAACATTTAGTGCACGACTAAGTACGCTCCTGTTATCCTGGTCCTCATCTGTGGTTACCGATTGAGATAGAGTCTCCTGAAATTCATTTACATATATATCGAAAATTATTAGTGGAGATAAAAAATTAAGTATATACTAATAAACTTTTGATTTACTTAAAGACACAATGTTATACTTACACATTCATCATAAATATGTTGAACATCTTCCCTAACAACTCCATCCTTGCCCACACGAGCTTCCTTCCACAAAACATGCGTCGGAAGTGATGTTTCGTCACTTTTCGTCTCCTCTAACTACGCATTGACACAAATCATAAGATCATCAATTATAACACATTGAGACAATTAATAAGATCGTAGCATTTATATATACTTACAATTTTTTGCTGTAAGCGTGCATATCCCAAATGCTCTTTTCTGTATGGATACGTGGGTGTTGATGCTCTCTCGCGATTTGTGTCTCTCACTTTCTTGAATTTCTCATTTTCTATTCATTTGGATACAAATTCATCCCATTCTTCGGGTCCAATGAATTTTCTATACTTCATTGGACGATCCGCTTTAACAAGATTTCCTTGCTCATCCTTAAGAAATTTGTTTGTTAAAAAAGTTCTCCACCCTCTGTCTTTTTCCGACCACTTGAAGACAATACTTTTTTCGATTATCTTCAATGTTAAAAGACCTTTACGAAAAAACATATGCATTATAGTCTGTTAGTATAAGTAATTTAAAGACATTACCATGTGATATTGATTAAGGGAACAAATATTAAGCATACATATAAGACATTCCCAAGCCTTACTTAGTTAGGGACTAAAATAACAAAAACATTATACTTTAAAGCTAAATTATATGGTACCTGTATATCAGTCCAGATTTTGTCTTTGTAGGAATCCAAATCTTTATTAGTCCATTTATCAAAGGTGATTGGAACGTGCATACGAGCAAGTATACCAATGTAGATTGTCAGCTTTGCACCATTAGGATCGATTAGTTGGTTATCATCATTCCAATGTACATCATATTTTACTCCTTTATCTCTATCAAGAATGATTTTTCTCATAATAGTGATGCCTCGTGTAATTTCTCCCTCTGATGTCTTATCTGGAGCATTTGTATCTTGTGAGTTTTCTTGATTACTAGCCATTGACCTGTAATAAAGAAAAAAAATAAAAATGAAATAACAAATACAAAAATCCACTAAGGAAATATAAAAAAAAAATGAAATGCTCATCCATCATAACAATTCATTCAAATGGTTATTAGTCAATTAAGCACTTCTTGACCAAGCAATTATTTTGGTAAAGATGCATGACTTAATTGTTTTTTCTTTCTTTTTCTTTTCTTTTTGACAGGTTTGTTCATCATTAAGAGGACAGCTTTTGCAACTGGTAGAACAGCCTAAAGAAGAATGAGAACTTTTGTATAGAAAATAAAATACCATGTAGTTCAAAATTCATCACATTTGTGTTGATGGGTTGAAATGAGAATTTGGTTTGATTAATAAAAGAATAATGAATATTCAAGTTCTTGCAATGTGATAGCCTCTTCTCTATTTAGTTTTTACAATAGAAAACTTGAAATATGATTAGCAAGCGAAATATCCTAATTACTCAAAGATTAAATAGAATCAACACGCTGGTAGATACCGGCAAAGTACCAGAATCTATGCGCTGGTACGCAACGCCCTAAAAAATGAAATTTTATTTCCTCGGATTGTTATCCGAACCCCTAAAAGTTGTAGTTTTAGCTGCTAATGAAGCATATAAGGACTTAAGGAATAAGCTCATGCAAGGAGAGCTGAAGATTTAGTTTTTA